TCCAGGGTCTCACAAAATTTATCGGCGGTTTCCAGAAAATTCTTGAAAAACCTTATAAACGTGGTTTTGAACTCTGTATCCAGTTGTTTGCTTTCCTCCATTTCTGTCATTTGTGATCTGTTTCTTTGTCTCTGCATTTTTTATGCTCCCCTGTGTTGGTAGAGTGGTTTTGTGTGCTAGGTGTCCTATAGGGCCCAGTGGCTCAGCCTCCCCAGTTACCTGAGGTGGACACTCTTGGTGCACCCCCTTGTGGGCTTTGTGCACAGTCTTGTTGTAGTTATGCCTTGATTGTTGTAGGTATCACTGGGAGGAATTGACCTCCAGGCCAATTGGCAGTGAGAATCAGCTATGTCTGCAGTGGGAGAACTTCTGTGCTGAAGACACCCTTATGGGGCAAGACTTGCTTCAGTGGGGCTTTGGTGCTCACTGAGTCTGCCCCCTGAGTGTGTCCCTTATGGATCTGAGGAGTTGTAATCTGGATGGTCCCACTCTGACCACTGGGTACACTGGCTCTTGGATCTAAGGAGGTGCTAATTTAGCCTCTGCCTGAGGTTACCCAGCAGGAGCTACGAAGAGATCTGCAGATTCCCCTTCCTTTTTTGGAGTTTGGAGGTGCCCAGATGAGACCCAGCTGTGAAGCAATGCAAGCTGCTGTGGGGTCTTGGGCCTTCTCTTGGAAGTTCTGGGTCTGTCTGGCCCAGCTGCAATTTGTTAGGTAATTTTCAGATTGCAAAGGGCCAGGGCATTCATATGCAAAAGCCTCTGCCGCAGCCTGGGTGGGGCGGGGTCTCAAGGAATCAAAAAGGTGGAGCAAGCAGCTATGGCTGATCCTCAGCCCTGCCCTAAGGGGCCGCGCGTCTCAGTGTCCCGATAATTGCTGCAAGCACCTCTGAGGGAATGCCGCCCTCAAGTTCCGAGTTCTGCCTGCTGCCAGACAGTCCAGTTTCTCCCCGTATGAGTCCTGGGTCCCCAGAGACTTCCCGGAACCAGAGTTCAGAGCAGTCGGGAGCTTGTGACTCCCTCCCGATTCAAAAAGACAGCCGCGTCCTCAGGTGCCAGCCCCTTTCCGCGCACGCGCTTGAGCCTCCGTACCTCTGCCCTTTACTTCCGCAGCTCCTCTGAGTCTCAGTGTGCATTTCTCTTTCCTTCTAGTTGTAGAATTTCCACTCATCCAGCCTTCCTGTAGTTCTGGATGATGTCCGTTTTGTCTTTTCGTTGTATTTTTGAAGTTGTTGTGGGAGGCAGCAATTTCCAGTGTTTACCGATGCCGCCATCTTGTGTTTTTTTTTAACTCTCTTATTTTTTTAAATACATTTGTGTTTTTTTAAAAATATATTTTTATTGATTTCAGAGAAGAAGAAAGAGGGAGAGAGAGATAGAAACATCCATGAAGAGAGAGAATCATGGATTGGCTACTTCCTGCAAGTCCCCCACTAGAGATCAAGCCTGTCACCCGGGCATGTGCCCTAACCGGAATTAAACCTGGGACCTTTTAGTTCACAGGCCTACGCTCTATCCATTGAACCAAACCGGCTAGAGTGCTATCTCTCTTATTATTAATACTAGAGGCCTGGTGCACAAAAATTTGTGCAATCGGGGGTGGGGGGTCCCTAAGCCCGGCCTGTGCCCTCTCGCAGTTTGGAACCCCTCGGGGCATGTCCACTTGCCAGCGGGGAGCAGGCCTAAGCTGCAGTCGGACATCCTTAGCGCTGCTGAGGAGGCAGAAGAGGCTCCCACCACCACCGCTGTACTGGCAGCCATCAGCCTGGCTTGTGGCTGAGCACAGCTCCCCCATGTGGGAGCGCACTGACCACCAGAGGGCAGCTCCTGCATTGAGCGTCTGCCTTCTGGTGGTCAGTGTGTGTCATAGTGACCAGTCATTCCCAGTCTTTCTGCTGTTAGGGTCAGTTTGCATATTACCCTTTTACTATATAGGATAGAGGCCTGGTGCATGGGTGGGGGCCGGCTGGTTTGCCCTGAAAGGTGTCCCGGATCAGGGTGGGGGTCCTGCTGGGGTGTCTGGCCAGCCTGGGTGAGGGGTTGATGGCCGTTTTCAGGCTGGCCAGCGACAGAAGCTCCCAGCATCTCCTTTTTTTCTTTCTTTTTTTATTCTGGGATTTATTTACCTTCTATAATTGAAACATTGTTGCCGTCACTGGTGCTTCCAGCTCCGAGGCTGGGCCTGCTGAAAGCAGGTATCTGGGGTTTGTTTAGCTTCTATAATTGAAACATTGTTGCTTTCAGGCTCAGAGCCGGGCCACGGCAGGTGGGGAACCTTGGCTTCCTCCATCACTGGAGCAAGCAAGCCTCATGTTCACTTCAGCTGCGTGGCTGCCGGCCGCCATCTTTGTTGGCAGTTAATTTGCATATCGCCCTGATTAGCCAATGGGAAGTGTAGTGGAAGTACGGTTAATTACCCTTTTTGTCTTTTATTAGATAAGATTGTTAATTTGTATTATCTCTTTTTTTCCCTGATCAGTCTACTAATGGTTTATCAATTTTATTGAGTTTTCTTTGATACTCAGCTTTTGGTTTCATTGATTTCGCTATTGTTCTTTGACCTATTATTAATAATAAATAATTACATAATTTTTTGTATATCCCATTTCTGTATCCTGAAACATCTGTACTTTTATCCAATGATTAAAAAAATTTTTTTTAAATTTATTTTTCAATTACAGTTAATATACCATATTATATTAACTTCATTCAGGTATACAACATAGTGATTAGACATTTATATACCTTACAAAGTGATCACCCCAATGTCAAGTACCCATCTGGCACCACACATAGTTATTACACTATTATTGACTATACTTGGGGCCCAGTGAATGAATTTGTGCACCTTGAAAGGAACTGTGGGCAGCGAGGCTGCGGTAGGCACAAGGGTGGGTCTTAGCCCATCTTCTGCACCCCCGCCCGGTCCCTCTTGTCACGGCTCCCAGTCCCCTGTCTGCCGGCAGCCCTGCTCCTGCCACTGCCGCCCCCACACACTGACAGCGCTGGCCCCACTTGCACCCGCTGATGGCACAGAGTGATTGGGGCCGGCACCATCAGCAGGTGTGAACAGGACTGGCACCGTTAGCGGGTACAAGTGGCAGTTGCTGCCCTGATCGCCCCTCAGGAGCAGGGGGAGGTGGAGAAGCCGTTAGGGGTGATCGGGCCAGCAGCCGCCGCTTGCACCCTCTGATGGCGCCAAGTGACCGGGACTCACACCTGGCACCAGCAGTGGGTGCGAGCAGCGGCTTTGGCGCCAGCTGTGGGTGCAAGCGGAGCTGACGCTGGCAGTGGGTGTGAGCAGTGGTTCTAGCACCAGCAGCGGGTGCGAATGGGGCCATCGCTGGCAGCGGGTGTGAGAGGCGGCTGCCGGTGGCCCAGTCTCCCCTCAGGATTAGGGGTAGGTGGAGAAGCCCTGAGGGGTGATTGGGGCCGGCAGCCTCCGCTCCCACCTGCTGATGGTGCCAAGGGTGAAAAAGGACATTCCAGTTGAATATGTCTTCTTTAAAAAAGTTTTTCTTAAACCATTATCTTATCTATATTTTATTGTCCAGAACAATGTCAAATAGTTACCACATCAACTGCATGGGAGTCTGGGAAGGAGTGTGTTTTTAGTTGGCCATATTGCTTCCCAGTACAAAATGAGGTTCTGTTGGTAAGGAAGTAGGATTGGTGATAATGGATATTAGATAAGCTACTACAACATTTGGTACCTCCTCATTTTACAGAGGATAAACAGAGATGGAGAGAGCTTACATAATTTGCTGAAGTTGTACAGACTATTAAGTAGTAAACCAAGCCTATGTTCTTAATATGCTAGTTAGTGATTCATGCATTCTTTTTATGGGAGTGTCTTCTGAGCTGGGACTATAATTGGACTCAGACAAGTGTTTCATCATCTTGGCACCTCAACAGGAAATAGCTCATAGATTCTATCTCTACCAATTGGCTTTCACTTCTATCTCTTGCATTCATTCATTTCTCCCATTTCTTAGCCCCCTAGCCCCAACACTGGCTATTAAGATTTGGAACAACTGAATTTACTCCCTTCTGCCTGAGCCCTGAAGAAGGAACCTGTTTAACATGACCTTGAGAATACATATATGAATAGAACAGGGATAGGCACTAGGGTATGGGGATAGAGAATTCAGTCTGATTTCTATCCCTAAGGAGAATCCCACACTGATCTCTTTCACCTTTGTGCAACTGTGTACTGCAGAATTGGAGTTTTACTATATATTGTACCAGTTGAAATTATTATTATTTTTGGCTTGTTTTGTGCTACAGAGGTAGAGGTTATGAATCAATCCTTTAAGACTTTAAGCTGCTGCATCTAATTACATTATCAATTTTCTATCCAATTCCCCCAAATTTCAACTCTGTTTTCTTTTCCATTTTCAAGTAACTTTACTCATTCAAATAAAACTTTCTTGACAGTATTTCAAGGTATTCAATAAATACACAAAAAATCCAAAGGATATACATAAAATAAGGGAAAATAAGTTTTGACATAATTGTCATTTCTGATATAATAAAATGGACAGGCTACTTTCAGTAATATGTGTTGTGGACCATCAAAACACATTCAAGTGAGTGACAAAAGGCCACTACACATTTGAATATTTTAATCAAAAACACTGACTAAAGTGGTGATGGAAAATATTTTTATAAAAGATAGCCAGGTTGAAAGGTATCTAAATAAGGAGTCAGAAGTCTCAGGTTAAAGTTCTAATGCAGGTACATGTTGGCTAATTGATCTTGGGTTAAAGTCACTGAATACCTGCCATGTGTTGATCACCATGATGGGCACTTGGAGTACAAAGGTAAAGAAAGATACAATTCCTACTCTGGAAAATCTTACTTAGTTTTGAATCACCAAAAGTATTGGACAAATGACCTACTCCAGATACCAATATAGGTGTATTGTGATATGCTTATGTTCACATAAGAATTTTAGAATATTGAACTGTTTTATGAAAAAAAATCACTATAGCTTTACATACTTTTGAAAAATATAGTTTATTTAAGAATATAAATGATGTAATGGATATATTTGGTTACTTAATAATATAATTATTTTAAGTATGTTATACAAAATGCACATAGTCAATATTTAGTGTTTTTCAGAGGAGATGAAATAGATTTTGCTTTTTTTGTCTCTATAGTAGTAAAATTATTGGCAAAGTAATGTAACAAAGTTATATTGTTCTACACTTGTTTGCCCCTATATTACAATTCTCAACCATTTTTATCTTATGTTCCACCAGCAATTATATCCAGTAGATTTCAACAAATTAGAAATCAAAGTGCCTACAGTTTAAGAAAAAGTCATATTTCATATGTATTCCATTATTATGTTTATCATTTATTATCAGTGTTAAGCCTATGAAAAATTGTAGCAGAAATTGTTAAGGCCTTAATATAAGCAGAAACTATTCCATTAGTAGTTGAAATGTTATTATGGTTGAATATAAATTATTTTACTACCTTAGTAACAGTAAAACACGAAGATGTTTAATAAAAATATTGCCATCAATAAGTTTATGTAAAGTTTTATATCAGGTAGACAAAGCAGAATAAAGGTTCTGGCATTCATATGTCAGGTAATTTGGAAATGAAGCTTGGGATGCCAAAGGTATATCAAGAATACAGTTGGTCAAAAGAAATGAAAGTAAAATAGAAATCAAATACATAATTAATTGTAAGTAGTGTCATTGGTAAGTTGGACAACAAAGGGTTAGAAGAAATTTTATCCAAGGTGACAAGAATATTAAAAGTCATTGACTTCTGGAAGTTTGGGTCAGAGGGACATCGTATGCCACCAACATGAGGGCTGGCCAGTTATTGAAATTGTAATATTAATTTTGTGTTCCATCTTGGACCTCGGGCCCCACCTAACCTACGTTGTGGCTTAGTGCTTTTAAAAAAAAATGTTTTAGTTTATTCCTAATCATTCTAATTCTATGTCTGAACTAAAATTTATTTCACTTCCTAATGCAAAAAATGTCTTGCTTTATTTATAGTTAACTCGGTCTATAAAAATCAGAATTTTTAAAATGAAAAATTAGAGGTGAAATTACTCACTTCACAAATCTATACTGGATTTATTTTTCTTAATTTTGAAATTATCTTTACCTTTTTAATATATATATATATATATAACCTGTCTAGCCATGTAGGCACCTGAAGTTTTGGGCATCTACTAACTTGGTATTTGTGAAATAGTCACTCTATGCAGCATCTTGTTTTTACTAGCAGCTCTTGTGTTTGAGCCCATTGTTTGGAACCAGGGGAAAGTATGTAGCTCTTTAAAATGGATCTCTGTCTAAAATGAGAGTTGGGCTAAGGCTTGTTTCTCCCCAGAGATCTCAGCTCTAAATGTAAAGTTCTCTCTGGACTGAAAGTAGAAAAAGTAAAGGTCTGTATGTTTTTAGAATATTGGCGGGCTGCTTTACCAATAACCTATTTAATATACCAATACTTGTATTGAATATGCAGTGATACAGAGGGAAATAAAAAACAAAACTGAGGATTACAAAAAATATATATAATTTTAACATAATGCGTAAAATATTCCACAGCATGTTAAGTACTCTCCATTTCCCTTAAATGTTATCTGTCTCTCTCTCTTTTTTTTGACAATCTCTTCAATGGTAGCTCTTTGGGCTACTCAACCCAGGATTCACAACTTTCCAACATCTTACATTTCAGAGAGCTTAAATATGATATTCTTTCTTCTTAAATGTGCAGTTTGGTCATTTGGTTCAATTAGAGCAAGATGGTTACCCTCTACTCCTAGATACACTCCAGGTTTGCTGTTACATTCAAAGGAAACGCATTTTGAGGGCCCGAGCTCTTTATGAAGAAGAAATAAGGTCTGGTCTGGCAACGAATTTTCATATTTTTGTACCTGAGGAAACAAGAGAGAAAGCAACCAATATGTGAGTAGGAAGTCCAGAGTCAACTCCACACCCTTGTATTAGAAACTAAAAGGAAAATAATTACTTATAACTTGGTATTTTTAGCAAAGCTGCTTAATGAGTAGGGGATGGAAGGGGTGGAAGTAGAGGGTCAAAGTGGGAGGATTTGATTTGATTCACTAATAGTATACTTTGAGAGACATATGGCTTAGAATGACTAGATCTAGATGCAACAGTTCTGGATTTGTATCCCTGATTTGCCATGTATTATCTCTGAGACCTGGCACATTGCTTTACTTCTCAGGCCTCAATTTTTTTAAATTTTTTTTTATATAACCAGTTTTCTAGATCAGTCGACCCCTAATTTACCCACTAACATGTGAGTGATAAAAATGATTATTATCTTAAGCCACTAAGTGTTGAGGACGGTTTTTTATACAGCAATACCTGACCAATACAATAACTCTACTATTATAGAGTTACTGTGTGAATTAAATGAGATAGTACTTATATAACATTTAGCATAGTACTTGGTATATAATAGAGCTCAGTATGGATCAGCTCTTATTACTGAGTACTTATATATGCCAAACACTGTTATATATACTTAAGAATGTTTTTGTTGCCGAAACCGGTTTGGCTCAGTGGATAGAGCGTTGGCCTGCGGACTCGGGGGTCCCGGGTTCGATTCCGGTCAAGGGCATGTACCTGGGTTGCGGGCACATCCCCAGTGGGGGATATGCAGGAGGCAGCTGATCGATGTTTCTCTCTCATCGATGTTTCTGACTCTCTATCTCTCTCCCTTCCTCTCTGTAAAAAATCAATAAAATATATTAAATAAAAAAAGAATGTTTTTGTTAAGGGAGATGTTAGTTACCATCAGTGTTTATGTTAATACTTTACATGGCTGTATGAGTTAGCTTTATAATTTTGTGTATTTATATAATTTATCTTCTATATTAGACTTTCATGTTTTCTTACTTGTCTCCACCTTTGGCTTCTTGGTTACTTAATCTACAATAATAAAAGCATAATATGGTAATTAGACCGGACGACCTTCCAGACAAAGCTGGGGTTGTGAGGGAAGCCCGAGTCCTAGGTGCCAGAGGGAAGCCGGTGCTGGCAGCCAGCGGAAGGAAGGCCTACTCTTGCATGAATTTTGTCCATCAGGTCTCTAGTATGTTTATAATTCTTTAAAATATATATATTTTTTCATTGATTTCTGAGAGGAAGGGAGAGAGAGAGAGAGAGAGAGAGAGAGAGAGAGAGAGAGAGAGAGAGAGAAACATTGCCCTGGCCGGTTTGGCTCAGTGGATAGAGCGTCGGCCTGCGGACTCAAGCGTCCCAGGTTCGATTCCGGTCAAGGGCATGTACCTTGGTTGCGGGCACATCCCTGGTGGGGGGTGTGCAGGAGGCAGATGATCGATGTTTCTAACTCTCTATCCCTCTCCCTTCCTCTCTGTAAAAAATCAATAAAATGTATTTAAAAAAGAAAAAGAAAAAAAAACATCAATGATGAGAGAAAATCATTGATCGGCTGCCTCTTGCATGCCTCTCTCCCCCCCACTGGGGATTGAGCCCGCAACCCGGGTATGTGCCCTGACCAGGAATCGAACTGTGACTTCCTGGTTCATAGATCGATGCTCAACCACTGAGCCATGCCGGCTGGGCTGTTTATAATTCTTCATCATGACCAATATAATACTGCCGTTTACTAACTGAAGAAGACTATGCAGTGAATCCTATGAATAGAATGTAGATTGTTATGCTATCTATAAATCTTGGCATATGAAAATGTTTATGACCTTCCCTTTAGCAGGCTTAGAGTATAAAGTTATTTATACATTTGCCTAAGAAAATTATATTTTACAAAGAAACACTTCCTAGAAGAACACAATACTTCTTAAAGCCAAATAGGAAGGATTTGAGATCATTCTATATAGTATTGCTTCTCCAACTTTAATGTGCATATGAATCTCCTGGAGATTTGTTAAAATGCTGATTCTGATTCAGTTGTGAGGGAGCCTGAAATTCCACATTTCTTTTTTTTGCAAAAAAACTTGTTTTATTGTCACATTTTACATCTCTGTGAATGCGTACATATGCCAGTTCTTTATATACAACAAAAATCCTACCTATAAGAGCATCTGAGAAATATAGTGTTCCTTTTCCAGATCCTATAGACTCTAGGAGGTGTCAAACATGGATGCTAAACGGCAGTCGACCATATGTGGCATGCAAAGTATTTCTGTTTCGAGTATGAAAGTGATGTTTTCCTACTACAGCCTCTGTCTTTCTTTTTGACAATGAAATTTCACATTTCTAACATGCTCCCAGGTGATGCTGTATTGCTGGCAGAGACTAGACTTTAAGTAGCTCCAAGAGCAAGATATTGGTGGTAACTCATTGTGTTTTATGTACAATAGCACAAACAAAAACCCTTCTTCAAAATATCCAAACATTCAAATCCATACAAACTAGTGATATTAATCATGACAGTTAAATGCATATTTCTGTTACCTTCACAGAGTGCTCCTCGGCATGCAGCAAAAAGTCTTTGTTATTTGCAGGACTCATCCTTACCATTACTTTGTGACCATCAACATCATCACCTTGCAATTAAAAAATGTAAATTATAAAGTTAAAGATTGTAACTCATTTTAATTTAAACAAATTTAACACCCAGGAAACAAGTTTATAATGTCATGTAAAATAACTGCTTCATTCAGCAACATGTCTCTTAGACATTTGTACCTAGATGAAACTAAGGAGTCATTGTATAAGTAGGGGATAATTCCAAGCCCCTTGAAGAAGAGAGGTTAGTTTTCTTACATGCTTTCTAATTGTAGAATTGGAACTCTAATGAGTATTTCTCCGAGTTTGTCTGCATGTAAAGCCACATATAGTTGTCCCCCAACATTCAACTCCTCTTCTTATGTTATAATAGAACATATTTTTGTAGCTAAGTGTAGCAATATGACTAAGTTCTGACCAATGTGAGTTGAGTGGAATGTCAGGTGCAACTTCCAGGTTATGTCCTTTAAGGGAAAGAGAATTCACATACCCATCTTTCTCTGTCCAGCTAATTGGATATTGTCATGGTGGCAAATAATTTTTTTGTTGTTGTTAATCCTTACTTGAGAATATTTTTTCCATTGATTTTTAGAAAGAGTGGAAGGGAGGGGGAGAGACAAGGAGACAGAAACAATGATGTGAGAGAGACACATCGATTGGTTATCTCCTGCACACTCCCTGACTAGGGCGGGGATTGAGCCTGCAATCAAGGTATGTACCCTTGGCATGAATTGAACCCAAACCCTTTAGTCTGCAGGCTGACATTGTAACCGCTAAGCAAAAGTGGCCAGGGCTAAAGTAATCTTAAAACATGTAGATCAGGGTTGGGGAACGTCCAGTCCACAGGCACTATAAGGCCCGAGAAATCATTTGGTCTGGCCCTACCAAGGCATTAGGGATGAGTTAATTAAATGTTTGACCAAACATAGCAGAGTAATATTTAGGTTGATAATTTTGTATGGCCCTCGAATGATGTTTTAAATACCCAAATGGCCCTTGGCAGAAAAAGGTTCCCCACCCCGATGTAGGTGTTAGCAGAGCCACAAAGAGAGAAGGAGCTAGGTTCCTGGACAACCTATTCAATAGAGTTCCCATTCCAGCCCTGGCTAAGACAGAAATAAAGTTTTGTGTAGCTTAGCACCCATTATTCTGGGTCTCCGTTAAATGTAGCCAGACATTTATCCTATTAAACTGCAAAATGGTTGGAATGGAGTAAATCCTCTAAGAATCTAAGATTTCACTATGAGCTTGGGCTGGAGAGAACCTTCAGAGACAGCCTGCCTTTCCACGTGGAGCATTTTTGGATTTATTTTTAGTCAAATTTAAGAATTCAAACATTACAGCTATCCAAATTACCTGTTCCACTTGCAGCTAGCTGTGAGTCATAGAGATGGAATAACACTTTGTCTGAAAAAGAATGCATAAAACTCTTTTGGTGATTTATCAATAGGTTCAGTTTCAAAATATACATAATATCAGAAAATATCCTCCTTTTTTATTGTATATCTACAAAAGCAAAACTTTTGTGGTTTTGAGAAAAGTCTCAAAATGATGGTATACTATGATGAATTCCCCATAAAATACTTAAAATATTTTTCATAGCATTTGTATATTCTTTTTTTTTTTTAAATCCTCACCCAAGGATATGTTTATTGATGAGAGAGAGAGAGAGAGAGAGAGAGAGAGAGAGAGAGAGAGAGAAGAAACATTGATGTGAGAGAGAACCATCAATCAGTTGCCTTCCACACTCACCCCAACTGAGATAGAATCTGCAACCTAGGTATGTGTCCTAATCAGGAAACCCTCCCCCTCCACCCTTCTTTCCCCCTTCTCCCACGTCCCACAACCTTTTGGTGTACAGAACGATGCTCTAAACAGCTGAGTCACCCAGCTAAGGCAGGTATGCTCTTATTTGAGGATTTACTTTGGTGACATTGATAAGATTAGAAATATCTAGTAATTAATTTAGCAATATCAAATATATATGGTCCTCCTTCCATCTTTCACAACATATACCACTTCTCAATATCAGCGTTCTTTCCTCCTGATGAATGCTTACTAAGCTTTTTAATCCTCCTCAACACAGTGATATTCAAGCATCTATTGCCAACGCAGCACAGTTTGCACACAACGTAAGATCTATTTGTCATATCTGAGTTAATCCATTGTTAATGGTTTGGTAAATTTATTTTTTACTTATTAGTAATCATTATATCATTATAGACAAAAGGAAATATTCTACCTTTCTCACCTTCTGTCCCCAAATCGTCAACATTGATGTAATAACCTTCATCCCCAACAACAAAAGTAATGGATTGATTGTCGTATGTGCTCAGGGAAACAGAACGATATTCTATAACAAGAGAAAATCTTGTCATTAAGAATGCAAAAACTTGTTCTCATAAACAATCATTTAGCATTTTTAAAAAATGCCTCCCCAAAGGCTTATTATTATTATTATTATTATTATTATTATTTGAGCTGTACTTTGTCCATTGCTGTTGGATGGATGAAAACCTTTGGTGCAAGTTTAACATAGCTCAAAGCTGAACTCTATCACCTGAATGGGATTAAAGGCACTAATTTATTGCGTGAAGGCCATGGGAGGCCATGCTAGTATGTTTATGGGAGGTTTTGGTGGGGAGAAAGAAGCTGGAAAAGTGACAGACATTGCCTGAGGAAACCTCTGCTTCCTGGCTCCCCATGGACTAGGGAATTGTAGGCAAGAAGGGACAGAATTTAAATAGACATGGATAAATAAATACCCATCTGTAAGGTGTGGAGTTATTCTGAGACTTCCAATAGTGCTGGAGGATACAGTTGTGAGCCCCTTCTGACTTCTGGCTAAATGACAGAGACACTGAGAGCAGTATTCCCAAGTTTTTAAAATGTTCCAACACATGGAAAATGATATTTCAATGGTGTAAACTGAAGTAGATTTAGGAACTATCTATATGGGCCCTGGAGAAAAAAATATTATATTTTCTTTACATTATAGAATTATGCTAAGAGAGTATACAAAATATTAATGAGTATGTTAAATGTTGAATTTGTATGTAAACTTCTAAAGTAAAATGATTTAAAAATATTTAGTGAGAAATTTCAGTGTTTTTCTGGGAATTTAAGACATTTATGTCAGGAATAATACTTGAACTGGCAACTGCAATTCCCAGTCAAGTTTCTCAATGATCTCTTCACTTCTTGATAGTCACCATCAACTTGGACTTCATTTGGCTCAGTTGGTGATGCAACTTAAAACAATTTTAACAAATTATTTAAAATATTTAGTCAAAATTATACTTAAAATACTTAATAGCCCCTCCTTTTTTATTGACAAAATTTTGAAATTTGGGGGAATAATGTATTGGGTTTTTTTCCGCTCACCAAGGATAATTTATTTTTCCCCAGGAATAATGTATATGGGATTCCAATCCATAGCAAACATTTCAAAATAACAATGGAGTGCTAACTATAGAATGTGCATGCATTGTTAGAGCAGTTTTCCTGCACCTGTTTTAGATACCACCTAATGGGCACATCAGCAGAAAATGGACAAAAGTTTCTAATATACTTGAAGGCATAGACTTGGGTTGCTTCCTAGAGCAGCACTTGCCAGCGTTCTGTTTCTTACCACCCTCCTCTTACCTACACCACACCTGTAACCAGTCACACCTAGGATTCTTGAATCATCAATTGTTCTAGTAGTTTCCTGGACCATAGATTTTTTAAAAGCAGAGGCCCCCGCCGATCGTTCAAAGTGTTGCAGGCGATTCTGACAGGTAGCAAATAGCAGATTTGGCTCTTTGTAATCTTCAGCTGCAAGACAGGTGGGGTTAGGAGTGGACTGTCAGTGCTCACTCTGCCCAGATCCCCTCCCCACTCCCTCTACCCACACTTGAAGAGTCATAGTCAAGGCTGCTTGCTGACAGTGGTGACTGACCCCAGGACTTTGGCCACCCCATAGTTGGAAGGGCTCAATACCTCCTGGCACACTTACACTCCAGAAGGGCACACCCATTGGAGTCCAGGTGGAAAAAAAACTAGTTACCCATGTCTCAAAAGGCAACCACTATGAACATTTTAGTTTATAGTAGTACTTCCTTTAAGTAAAAAAAAATCACCTAAGAGATATTGTTAATATATAGGCATACCCCACTTTATTGCACTTTTCTTTATTGTGTTTTACAGATGTTGCATTTCTTACAAATTGAAGGGAAGGCCCTCAACCAGTGAAAGATTACAACTCACTTGATTGTGGTGGTCTGGAACTAAATTCGCATATTCTCAAGGTATACCTGTATATATAATTTTATATCCTCTATTTTCACTTAACATTATAACATAACCATTTCTCCCATTACATTAAAAACTCTGTATAAACCTTTTTAAAAATGGCTTAAAAAGAGTTTATTATCTTTACTCTTTCCCAGAAGGAAAATTTGTGTGAGGGATAAAAATTATATACCTAGATGTAGAAATTGAAGGCAAATAGATGCTCATCACTATATTAAAGAATTACCAGTAATTGTAGTTTTCCCTTACCTGAGTTTGGTGAATGCCTTTCGGTGGTTTCTTTCCTAAAGTAACAGGCCTTTTTTTCTATGATAAGGCCAGAGCGTAGCTGCATAAAGTACACCTGGCAAATTTCTTTGCCCTTCTGTTGGGATTCTAAACAAATGAAAAAAATGTGATATTGTTTCATTCCATCCATTTTCTTTTTTTTTTTTCCCTAAAATATATTTTTATTGATTTTAGAGAGGAAGGGAGAGGGAGAGAGAGAGAGAGAGAGAAACATCAATGATGAGAGAAAATCATTGATTAAATGCCTTCTACACGTCCCACGCTGGGGATTGAGCCCACAATCCGGGCATGTGCCCTGACTAGAAATCGAAGCGTGACCTCCTGGTTCATTGGTTGACACTCAACCACTGCACTACATCAGCTGGGCATTCATCCATTTTCATCCTTTTATAAATGCTGAGTGTAGCAGACCGAGAAAGAAACTGCAGATCCATGGTATTTTGTCAGAAACTTTTGGGCCAGTTCTGTTTCAAGATTCAAAGTTTTTTAGATTTTAGAATTGTCATGTAGAACATATATGGTATATATTTAGCACTCCCAGCAGGGACTAGGGCAGTAACCCAAATTCAAAAATTAATAATATTGTAGTGAAATATAGAAAATTGTATATAAGGTGGAATAAAGACCTCATGGTGATTCAGCTCAGGCTTTAACTGTTAAGTGAATTTAGGTCATATTTTGCTGTCAAATGAGTTAAAAAAAACTTTAGGTCTTTAGAAAAAATTTTCTTTTTCAGAATTCCATATAAGGGAATGTGGACCTACATCCAACATATATCAATCTTTGCCTCACTGAGGAGAGACTCTATGGTCACATGAAGTCTGTAATCTTTTCTACTTATCTAGAATATACTTTTAATAATTTTGGAGGCATGGCTGTAGTCTGTAAAGGTTATTGATTTTAAAAATAGCTGTCATTTACTGTGTCTGCAGTGAACCAACCACTGTGCTAATAATTTTACATACTATGTCACTTAATCCTTCATAATAATATAGCAAGCAAGGCAGGTATTATTCTCCTCATTCTACAGATGATGATCTAGAAGTCATGACACCCAAAGTTACAGGTCTGGTGAGAAGTTGTGACTCAAGTGTATCTAATATTAAAGATACTCTTTACGCCCAGCTGGTAGCTCAGTGGTTGAGCATCGACCTATGAATCAAGAGGTCACGGTTCAATTCCTGGTCAGGGCATATGCCCAGGTTGCAGGCTTGATCCCCAATAGGCAGGTGGCAGGGACAGCCAGGCGCTGATGATGGACATGCTCGCCACCACGAAGTTCAAGGCTCAGGCCAAGCTCTTCCTGCAGAAGTGCTTCCAGTCCAAGAGCTTTCCCTCTTACAAGGAGTTCAGCGCCCTCTTCCCCCTCACCGCCCGCTCCACCTACTACATGTGGAAGCGAGCCCTGTACGACGGCCTCACCCTGGTTGATGGCTGACAGGGTGATGCAAAGGAGGCAGCCGATCAATGATTCTCATCACTGATGTTTTTTATCTCTTTCTCTCTCTCCTTTCCTCCCTGAAATCAATAAAATATATATCTTTTTTTAAAAGGTATTTTTTTCATCTACCTCTAAGAAAATATTACAGTGCAATTTTAGGGACTAACAAAATATAAACTTAAATCATTTGAATTAAAAAATATTAATTATCCAGTAATTCTAATTTTATTAGAATTTAATTTAATTAGCCAAAGAAAAATTAAAGTCTAAAGTAAAAATAATTTGCTACTTGGAAATCATAAAAAGACTTTCAGAGTTAAGTAGAAAAGAAAGTTGTAACACCTGAGTCAAAGGAACTCAACTTTCAACATTATAGTAAGTAAATGAGTTATCAAGCAATTTCAGAAAATGAAAATAATTACTTGTGATTATGATCTTTTTTTTATTCTCTAAGATTTGCCTTACTAGTATGCTTTTAAAAGTCGAGTAGAATAAACATTTGTTAGCTACCATTTTGAATTATCTATATTTTGTCTCCAGTTTAGATGGGCATCTACCTTTAAGAATCTTCAACTGTCTGAACAGGGCAAGATTACTTAATTATACTCACACCCACCCTGGAATTCCTTAACATTGCTTCAAATTCAGAAATATCAACTATGGTATTGCACATTAATATAATATTTTTAGAGTTACAAAGATAATTTACAAAGCTGTGCCAGAGCCAGCACTGAACTTGGTCTCTTGATAACTAATTTAATACAATATTTTATTTACTGTATCAATTTTCTCTTCAGAGCTAAAAGGTATAAGATGATACTGTAAGCATTTTCATTCCTTATATGCTTATCAGTATCCCATAGTGACATGACAGGCATGTCTTATATTCAGAGTGGACTCTGTGGGGAATGGGATATGGGTCTTGGGTAGTTTGAAGTGAGGGTCAAGATATTAAAGTATTGCGGATGTTCAAGAAGAGACAGACTAAAGATATGGATGTGCAGGCTAGTGCAGCGGTTCTCAACCTGTGGGTTGCGACCCCTTTGGGGATCGAACGACCCTTTCACAGGGGTCGCCTAAGGCCATCGGAAAACACATATTGAATATATAATTACATATTGTTTTTGTGATTAGTCACTATGCTTTAATTATGTTCAATTTGTAACAATGAAAATACATCCTGCATATCAGATATTTACATTATGATTCATAACAGTAGCAAAATTACTTTTATGTCATATTTACGTTACGAAGCAGCAACGAAAATAATTTTATGGTTGGTGGTCACCACAACATGAAGAACTGTATTAAAGGGTCGTGGCATTAGGAAGGTTGAGAACTACTGATCTAGTGGGACAAACACTGGCTGTAATTCATTGGGGGTGATTATAGTTGAAATATTAAAGATGCTTTACATGGGGAGTATTTGAAAGAAGGTATACTTTGGTGTTCAAGGCAGCTGAAAATGTGGTGTGAGGGTTGTGTTCTCAGGAGGAGACACAAAGCTGACATGGCCATGGGAGCAGTGTAGGAGAAGTGCTCCATTGGGGTCAGAGGCCCAGGTCAAGCTTATGTAAGGGCTGTTGCCACTTTCTCAATCTCCATCATATTTGCTGTCTGAGGGCAGTGTCTTACTATAGCTTTTAAGAAAATAACTAATTTTACCATAGCATCAGCATGTTGAAATTCTCAGGCATTTCTGGTGAGTAAATGGGGAGGGGCCTGGAAATCTGCCTGTAATTTTGCCATTTGGAGACCCAGACTATGACTGACAGGAACTACAGAAGCAAATCACTTCATCTTTCATTTCTTCCCCAAACACTTTTTCACCATGGTGTTTTCTCACTGCTTACTACCTTTTACCTGTCTGTGGCATTTGACTTTAGGGACCACGTCCTTCTTTGATCCCTTCTTCCCTTATTGTCAGGTCACCAGTTTCCTTAGATTCTTCTTGTTTCTCTCTGATCAGTCCGTCTTGGTCTCTCTGTTAGTTCTTTCTTCTTTACCTGCTCTTAAATGTTGGTGTTCCTCAGGATTTTGCCCTTTGCCTTTTGCTCTTATTCTAGACTTTATTTCTGAGCAATATTGCTTACTCCAATGACTTCAATCATCTTTTTATATACTGACTAGAGGCCCGTTGCACGAAGAGATTCATGCAATAGGCCTTCCCTTCCCCTGGCTGCCGGCACTGGTTTTCCTCCGGCATCCGGGACCCAGGCCTTTGCTCCAGACGGAGCCTTAAGTCTTTGCGGCTCTGGACGGATCCTTTAGTCTTCACTCCGCTGCTTCGCCCCTACGTATGCAAATTAACCGCCATCTTTGTCGGGTTAGTTTGCATACTCCCCTGATTGGCTGGTGAGTGTAGCGGAGGGATGGTTAATTTACATGTTTGTCTATTATTAGGTAAGATGACTCCTTAAACTGTAACTCTATCTTTATTCTCTCTCCTGAGTTTTATATCTGTTGCTCTTTCTCCACAGGGCATTTTGACTTCAGCTACCATAAAGCATCTCTATCTCTATCTATGTAAAGCCTCATTAACTCTGGACACCACTACCTCCTTCAAATTCAAATTATACTCACAATAATAATTTTTTTTACCATTTCCTACCCCCAATATATTCTTCCTGAATTCTCTATCTTGAAAAACAGTACCACTATTATACCATTGTCTGCCCAATTCTTAAATCAGAAAGTTGAGAAACATCCATTTTTCCTTCCTTATCTTTCAATTTATTTTATATGTCACTAAATCTTCATGATTTCACCTTCTGACAGTGTGTGAAATTTGGTCTTTCCTTTCCTTTCTGCTGTCTTAGGTCAGGCCCTCATTATTAGTCCCCTAGATCAGTGGTCGGCAAACTCATTAGTCAACAGAGCCAATTATCAACAGTACAATGATTGAAATTTCTTTTGAGAGCCAAATTTTTTAAACTTAAACTATATAGGTAGGTACATTGTTATTAACTTAATTAGGGTACTCCTAAGGCTTAGGAAGAGCCACACTCAAGGGGCCAAAGATCTGTATGTGGCTCGCGAGCCACAGTTTGACGACCACGGCCCTAGGTGAATGTAGTAGATTTCTGACAAGTCTTAGTTTCTACGCTTGTCCCCTCAATCTCTCTTCACACCACCACCAGTGTGACTTTTGTAAAATAAAAATATGTTGTAATTCCCACCAATTAAACATTTCCAATGATTCTCTACTGTCCACATATTCCTTCACTGTAACAGAAGATTTTCCATGGACAGACACAAACTAAAGTGTGTGATCTCTACCCAGCTCTATCATGTAGGAATATGAGCCAGTGTTACTAGATCTTCAGATTTTTTTGACAAAACCACACATTCAGATTTTTATGCAAAATCTCCTAATCTTTAATTGTTGCCTCAATTGAGAAACAACATCAATAATAGTCTTCAGGCCAAATAAAATACTTCAATAATAGTGTTCAGGCCAAATAAAATACTTCTGCTGGATGAATCTCTCAAGGCTCCCTATATTGTGACCTCTGGCTGTATGCATACAAAAGCTGGATTGTCAGGGAAGGGAAAGAATTGATGGAGAAGAGGAAGTAGCAGAGGAGAATGGACTAACCCTGGGGAGTAGCCTCCTGGAAACTTGGAATGGGATGATTTTTAGGAGGGGCTACCCTCCAGCTCATGAAGTGCTCATGTACCTCCTTGGCACTAAAATGAAAAGGTGTGGTGGTGACCAGAACTCATAAGGGACCTGACTGTGTGGATACCTGTAGTGGTTGGATGATGGGTTTTGTGGTGTTGTAACCTGTGGATTGTGTCAGATAATGTTAGCCCAAGGGAGGAAAAGTAATTAAAATGAACTTTTTTGTTTTATTTTTTTTTGCTTGAGGGCTCAGAGCATTTTCTTTAGAAAAATGTGACATATTTTCACCCTGGGTTTTGAGAAGTGGTTCATACCTTTCACACACCTCACAGCTGTCAGGTTTGGGGCCAGGAGTGTTTATTAGTAAATAATGACAATTTTAGTGTTAAACTGAGCCAATATTATTGGGAAGGAAGATCTGCTAAGGGACAATTAAAATAGTGTAATATTAATATAAGTGATTTGGGGGATATCTTTATTACTGTTTTTTTAAATGGTGTAAATAAGCCACTGCAACCTTAAAGGGGAAGTTACATTTTAATTTTTGCATTAATGCCATTAACTCTGCTGTAAACTCCAGCCTGCTCCCTTATTCCAGTATCTTAAAGAGTCCAAATCTCCTGAGGTGTAAAGACAATACATTTTTTATTAAGAGGGAATTTGGGATGCAGAGTCACTTCCATGAGTCACTGTTTCTACATAGAGCAGTTTGACTCAGACTCAGATAAAAAAAAAACTAACAACTATGATTTCCTGGGCATTTAGAAATCACAGTCAAATTAGTGTTTTCCCTAGTTACCAAAGAACACTGTGGGTGAGCCAGAGCCTTAGGGATGACAGAACTAATGTACTTTAACACTGCTTTCTCTTCTAGCCTTAAAGATGTTCAGGGAAATGGAAAGGAGCCCAAAGAACAAGGATATGCAGTCTCCATCATCATTCCCCATCCTCTGTTTTTGCTCTAGCACACCAGGGCTCTCTTAACTCCTTTGTATAACTTCTCCTTATGAAGAACATAAGTGTAAATTTGTATAATTATTGCCTAGGATAGGTAACATAAGGATCAAAGAAGTATATATCCCTTTTATTCTAAAGCTATGGCTTCTACTTGGTTCTTTTTACCCTTCAATTTATTACAAACCCTTTGAGTTTGTAACTGGATATTCTTGAGCATCATTTGGTCAAATCTCCTTTCTTTGGGGCCTGGATTATCCAAATATCTTCACTTGTATTCTCTCCTTTATCAAAAATTGCAAGTTAAGACCACAAGCTTGATACACCAAAGGTCTTAATAAATGTTTGTTGAATGAAAGTGGATCAGTTTAAATTTTGTTAATTAATTAGGGAAAAGTTTTTGGGATTTGGTGGTAGGGGATGTGGGTGGAAAGCAGGGATTGTTATGAAGGGCTATAAATATGTTTATCACTATTAGCAGGTTTAAATTATCTGAGCCATTTTTTGTCCTGTGATGCATCAAATAAGTAAAAGTTGGCTGTAGTCTGTTTAAAACCAAATGCTGCTGTACTGCACACTTATGAGACATCCCTTTCAATTTCAGCTCTTGTATTCTTAGTAACTTTTGTATGATAGTATGTATGAACATTGGATAATAAAGATTTGATAACAGATAAAAATAGTGTGTAAAGTAATCAGAAATGCTTAAGTCCTTACTTCTCAACCTGGAAGATTTTGCCGAGGCTTTTCCTGCTGAGTTGTTCATATTTGCTGGGGGAATTTTGGTGGTTGAATACTTCATTTCAAGCCTTATTTTTCAGGCTTCTATTGGATTAAATATAGTATTAGTTCAATTGTCTCAACCTGAAAACAAACAGAAACAATTGTGGTTAAGTCAATATACAATTGATAACACAGCTACCAAGAGAAAATAATTATTTTAGTAAAATTTGAACATAGTATTCTGAATATGTATCTATGCTGGAATATGGGACAAAAAGAACTACAAAGAAATCTTAAACTTCACTTAATGGTTTTGTTGTTGATGGTAATATTGGTATTGGAATTCTGAGACCATTTGCTATACTATAGGATACAGAAAATAAGTAGATGTTTGACATAGGATTTTCACTGTAGGAGAAAGGACAAATATAAAATAAAAGAATCCAAGAAGAGAGTGATCCTAATAGCTATCCATAGTGAACCTCTACCACAGGTCTACAGAGGTGAGAGGTGATGCAGACCAGCTAAAAAATGCATTAAAATAAAAATAAAAATTATTGGGAAACCAAGATGGCGGCATAGGTAAACACCGGAGTTTGCTGCCTCGAACAACCACTTCAAAAATACAACTAAAAGACAGAACGGACATCACCCAGAACCACGGGAAGGCTGGCTGAGGAGAGTCTCTTCAACTAGAAGCAAAAACAACAGCATTCCGACGCTCAGCGGAGGCGCAGTGTGGAAAATTTAAAGGTACGGCGGTGCGGTGGTGAGGGTGCGCGCGCAAAGCGGGCTGGCGGCTGAGGGCGCGATTGTCGTTTTCAATCAGGAGCGAGTCTCAGACTCTGGGCTACAGATCCGGGCGAGTCTCTAGGGACCCAGACTCAAACGGGAGAAGCGGGACTGTCTGGCTATGGCCCCTCCGAGGTTTGCAGCGATTGCTGGGACAGAGAGGCAGAGCCCCTGGGGACGGACTGAGAGCGGCCATAGCTGCTCCCTCCCCCCGCCCTGTTGAGCCCGCCCCACCCAGGCCCTGCACACAGCCATTTGCCGATTGCCTCAGGCAAGGGCTGGACTAGCGCCTCCCCAGAGGACTGAAGTTTTCCCACAGCTGATTTCCACAGCCAGTCGGCCTGGTGGTCAAATCCCTCTAGTGTTAACTACAACAATTAAGGCTTGGCTAGAACAAGACTGCGCACAGAGACCACAAGGGGGTGCACCAAGAAAGCATAAAAGATGCGGAGACAAAAAAACATGACAGAAATGGAGGATATGGAGCTAAGAATCGCAATTTTGAGGGCTTGCCATAAATTTGTGCAGAGCCTCACGAAAACTAATGAGACCCTCGATGCTACGATAAAGAAATTAGAAAGTAAGCATACACGGACTGAAATAAAGAATATTATACCCAATAGCAGACCAGAGGAGCACAAGAATCAAACCAAAGATTCGACAAAAAACACCCAATTGGAAAAGCAAAATGAAAAAAGAATCCGAAAGTGTGAAGATAGTGTAAGGAGCCTATGGGACAGCTTTAAGCGGACTAATATCAGAGTCATTGGAGTGCCAGAAGATGAGAGACAGCAAGATATTGAAAACCTATTTCAAGAAATAATGGCAGAAAACTTCCCCCACCTGGAGAAAGAAATGGACTTACAGGTCCAAGAAGTGCAGAGAACCCCAAACAAAAGGAATCCAAAGAGGACCACACCAAGACACATCATCATTAAAATGCCAAGAGCAAAAGACAAAGAGAAAATCTTAAAAGCAGCAAGAGAAAGAGGCTCAATTACCTACAAGGGAATACCCATACGACTGTCAGCTGATTTCTCAACAGAAACTTTGCAGGCCAGAAGGGAATGGCAAGAAATATTCAAAGTGCTGAATACCAAGAACCTACAACCAAGATTACTTTATCCAGCAAAGCTATCATTCAGAATTGAAGGTCAGATAAAGAGCTTCACAGATAAGGAAAAACTAAAGGAGTTCATCACCACCAAACCAGTATTATATGAAATGCTGAAAGGTATCCTTTAAGAAGAGGAAGAAGAAGGTAAAGATAAAAATTATGAACAACAAATATGCATCTATCAACAAATGAATCTAAGAATCAAGTGAATAAATAACCTGATGTACAGAATGAACTGGTGACTATAATGAATCAGGGACATAGAAAGGGAATGGACTGACTATTCTTGGGGGAAAAGGGGTGTGGGAGATGCGGGAAGTGACTGGACAAAAATCATGCACCTATGGATGAACTCAGTGGGTGGGGAGTGAGGGTGGAGGGTGGGGTGGGAGCTGGAAGGAGGGGAGTTATGGGGGGAAAAAAGAGGAACAAATGTAATAATCTGAACAATAAAGATTTAAAAAAAAATAAATAAAAATTAAAAAAAAAAAAAAGAATCCAAGAAGAAATTCCTATGATGTTAAATTTGAATCAGTAATATTGGTATACCTGTATCTTAATTTCCAAGTACTTTTTTCATTAAAGAGAACTGGAACTCTAGATGTGGGCTGGGAAAGTAGAAGTGAACATGGAATATGTTGTTGTGCCAGAAAGCAGTGTCATTCAAAAACTAGTGAGGTTGTGTCAAAAGGATACATGAAGGTTCTCCTGCTGGCCAAATTTGGGACAATTTGACATCAAGAGGAATAATGATGGTAATTGACTATAACGCATTTGATGAAAAAAAGCCAAAAACCCACAAGTCCATAGCATTTATCAAGAAAGAATGAATGAGGAATTTATTTATTACCGAAGAATGATAAAATTAGAAAAATCACCATCCTCCAGTCCCCAATTAATACTTGACCATCGGTGGACTGCAGTACTCTACTGAAAGACCCTGGAGTTCTCTGTCATAAATTGCAGAAAGCTCCATATTCTTTCAGTAGGGTTCTGCAACCTGGCTTCATCATCAAGGTAAGGCAGTGATGCTGTGGTTTGTGGGGAAAATGGGACTTCTTCTCTAGTCTTAAAATCTCTCTGACATTGCTGAATTCTACTAGTAGTTATTGCTTCCTTTATTGGGCATTGCCTTTTATTTTCTAGGTTAAACAAAATAAAATCCAAATTATTGGATTGGCTATCATTGAAATTTCTTCATATTGCTCAGCTTTTCTAGCAGGGTAAGGAAGCAGCATTGAGTTCCTGGGTCAGAGGACTCATTGGAAGATAAACTTCATGCACCTTTAATTTTGTCCCTGGCCAACCCCAAATAGGCTAAAATTTTCTTGTCTAGATGGAAGTAGAATCTTCCATGCAGCCATACTATGTTCAGACAGTTTCATGAGCAGAATCCTTCAATGGTAGGGCACTTGAGGACTCCCTCTGCTGCCCCTGAGAATGAATATTATCCTCACAGAGCTTGAGGGCCTCTCATAAATCCTTATCTTCTTTCTCTGATTTTCTCACCTTTACTGTCAAGAACACTTAGAAGTGAAGAGCCTTGGACATTCTTTTACTGGGCTCCTAACTTTATAGATGAGTGGGCCAAGTAAAACTGAAAAATTAAGTGCCTTGCTCAGGATCACATAAGCTGAACTGGGACCAGAATCTGTTATTCCAGAGCTTCCCTACCCTGTCTCCTTTTCTTCCCCATCCAAATGTAGGAATAAAAGAATCAGAACTGGGAATTTAACTTCAAATGCTTAGCTGGTTGTCCAACTTCTTTGAAATAATAAATTTTTGAATATGGTAGTTAATTTTTAATCATAACATGGGATAGTGCAGGTCAGTAACCTTATTGTAGTTAAACTTTAAATTGTACAGAAAATAAGTCAGACAGTAATGTGCACATAGTAGGCATTCAGGTATACTACTTTACTGATAATATGAAAATTGCATTGCTGGGTTTTTTGTTGTTTTCTCTTTTATCCATGGATCATTATGTCCTAGAAAAAAAATTCCCCTGGATACACATTAAAAAGCTAACAAACATAAAATGTTACATTTTCAAATAAATCTAGGAAATGTTCAATCTATATTCCATTTCTTGGGAAGTCAGAACTTACATTAGCATAGTAAAGGTGCTGACAGTCCTTCATTGAAGAATCATGGGTATCTTTAATTTTCAGTAATTATTTAATTTTGTAAATAATCACTCCCTCTATTAATACCCCTATGAACTAGTTTAAGAGAACACACTTGGAGGAACTCTGCTCTAAACCCTTAGCTTGCAGAGTTAAGCAAGGTAGATAAGAAACTGAAATACCACATTTACGATGGAGTCACTGACACAGAGAAAGCTGGCTGTTTTTTAAGAATCACATGATAAGTCAAAAGCATAGTCAGGAAATACTCTACTGCAATTTTACTGCTAGGAATTTATGCTACCAATGAACTTACAAAGATTTACCAAGAATCAGAAAATCCTATTCTAAAAAACAAAGCATTCTCTTTAAACAACCTACAAATCTCTTACTTAAAAAAAATACCATCACTCCTTTCATTATTTTTTCAGACTTAAAATTTACTCTTTACTCTCCTACTTTTAAATAAAAATATTTCAGACTATATCACAATATAAACATTAATTTTTTGTGCTGCTTTTCCAATAACTTATGGCAAATATTTTTGCACACTGGTTATGATACTCACCTAAGTTATAAACAATGAAGGGCTGGTTTCAAATGATGAGGTTTCCTGTCGTTAACACTTGGTAGTAGTTGAGGCAGTTATATTCTAACTCTGCTTATATACACACACTTGGATTAAGCAATATCAAGTGACAGCATTTGATGAATGAGGCAATGCAAATAGAGCCAGTTGAGTAGGTTAGAATGAATAAGAACATATTTTGTTCCCACAGCGAAATCCTAAACAGAGCGTTTACATTATTTTAGCTGTAGTACTTTCAATGAGTTTTCTCAGTTAATCATTAATTTTTATCAAACTTCTATGACATGGACTCTAGTTAGTGTTTATTGCTCAGTATACAGAATTTAAGGGAACAGATTATTTAATTGCCTTTCTCTTTTCTACAAAGTTTAAAACTTGTGAAGTATTTTTTTTGTTTATAAAAATGATGTATATGCACTTAGAAAATGTGTAATTGCCAGGAAAGCGTATATGCGACAGATTCTCACTTTTTCTTTCAATGTAGAAATACTGTGCATATCTATTTTTATAAAAAAGTAGAATCACTCTACAAATATTTTGTAAGCTGATTTTTCTCATTTTCCAATTAACACTACACCATGAATACTTGAGATGTCAGAAATATTATTTTACAGGAAGCATTATAAATAGTATTCAATCATATAAGTATGCCAAAACTAATCGTTTATTGATTAACACTTTGGCTGTTTCTAGTTTTTCCTTTCTTTTCTTTAAAAAACAATTTGTTGCCCTAACTGGTTTGGCTCAGTTGATAGAGCATTGGCCTACGGACTGAAAGGTCCCAGGTTTGATTCTGGTCAAAGGCATGTACCTTGGTTGTGGGCACATCCCCAGTAGGAGGTGTGCAGGAGGCAGCTGATCGATGTTTCTCTCTCATCGATGTTTCTAACTCTCTATCCCTCTCCCTTCCTCTCTGTAAAAAATCAATAAAATATTTTTAAAAAATAAAAATAGTATTGTTGACAGTATTACAGTTGTCTTCCATTTTACCCACCTTTGACCCCTCTATCCAGCTCCTGCCCCACCTCAGTCTCCATGGATTATACATATATGCATATAGTTCTTTGGTTAATCACTTCCTGTCCCCTTCACCACCTTCTTTTTTCCCCCCTAATATCACCAATGTTGCAACTGACAGTTGGGTGTGTGTGTGTGTGTGTTCTGATTCTTAGTAAATCTTTGTAAGTTCACTGGTAGCATAAATTCCCAGAAGTAGAATTGCTGTACCCAAGGGTACATGCATCTTCTATTTTAATAGATATTACCCAACTAACTTCCTGTAGTTTGTATTGATTTATAATTGTTTCAACAATCCAGGTTCATGCCTTTTTCTCTACTGCCTTAGCAGCAATGAGTGCCATCACCTTTAAAATGTTTGTCTTTCTAAAGAGAGGACAATACTTCATACTTTCAATTTTTTATTATTTAGTGAGATTGAGCATTTTTAAAAAACATTTGTTGTCAATTTAAATAAATTATTAATTTATATGAACTCTTTGTAAATTAAGAAATTAAATCCTTGCCTGTGATATGTGTTGAAAACTTTTTTCCACTATAATTTGTCTTTAGACTTTGTTAATGGTATTTTTTCTTCACACATAAGTTTTCAAATATTCTGAGGTAAAATTTAATCAATGTTTTCTTTTTTTTAGAAACTCTGGATTTTGTGCTTAGCTTCTAAAGGATTCCCTCCTCTCTTCAAAGATTATAAATAAATTATGACATTTTCTAAAACTCTTATAACTTACTATTTAAAACCTAAATTTTTGATTCACTATTACATTTAGTGTAAAGAATAGGTTAGGACTGGCTGGCATGGCTCAGTGGTTGAGCATCAACCTATGAACCAAGAGGTCATGGTTCGATTCCTGGTCAGGGCACATTCCTGGGCTTTGGGTTCAATCCCCAGGGTGGGGCATGCAGGAGGCAGCCCATCAATGATTCTCTCTCATCATTGATGTTTCTCTCTCTCTCTCTCTCTCTCTCTCTCTCTCTCTCTCTCTCTCTCTCTCCCTCCCTCCCTCCCTCTCCCTTCCTCCCTGAAATCAATAAAAATATATTTTAAAAAAGGTTAGAATTTTGTTTATGCCCTAAGTGTTTATCCCAACCACATATGTAATCCAATTTAGACAAAGGTAAGTTTCATGTTATGTAGGGACCAGAAAGTAGAGGGCCGTGAGAGCAACAATATGAACTTTGAATTTTATCCTGTAGCCAACTGGAATCTTTTAAAGGTTTTTAAAGCAAGTGAAATATAATAAAAAATGTGTTTTGTGAATGTAATTTTAGGCCAGTTAGGAAGGCATTAAAATAGCCTGACAAAAAGTAGTGAGGACAGAGCCAGGGCAATGTTAGTAAGACTGGTAAGGAAGAATGAAGGTGATGAGTGCTGCAGGCATTTTATACAGTCCTAGTGTTACCAGACATGAAACAGGCCCAGAGCCGGGCAGTAGTGTGTGGTTCTTGATTTGTGCAGGAAAGATTTCACAGCACAAATCCAGGTGATTTTGAGAGTATGTTTATTAAAGTGGGGACAGTAAAATAAGGAAGGGTGTAGGACAGAAGAAGAAACAGGAGGGAGCTTAGGCGGGGTTGCTTTGGCTCACTTGAGAAATAAAAGTTATAGTGAAAGAAGTGAGCCTAAGTGGGGCATCTGTCAGCTCACTGGAAAGTCAGAGAAAGGGGGGCCATGGAAACAGGTTCAGGGGGTTAGCCTGTGGACTGGGCGTAAGCCTGTGGACTGAAGGGTGGGGTTTGATTCTGGTCAGGGCACATACCTTGGTTGCAGGATTGATCCCCAGCCCTTGTTGGGGCACATGTGGGAGGCAACCAATTGAAGTGTCTCTCTCACATTGATGTTTCTCTCTTTCTGTCTCTCCCTCTCCCTTCTACTCTCTCTAAAAATCAATAAAAAATATCTTCAGGTGAGGATTAATAAAAAAATAAAATAAATAAAAATGACCAAAAAGAAAAGCAGAAAAAAAAGAAGAGGTCATATTATGAAGGCTAAGAGAGAAGATCTCAAAAATGAACATTTGGTGATGAGCACTAGAGACCCGGCTGGAGATTAGAGACCTTGGAGAGAGTCCTTTAAGCACGGTGGGCTCTCCAAGAAACGTCAGTGGACTGCACAGTTTGAAGAAGGAGTGAGACTTTTTCAAGAAGTACAATAGTGAAAGGGAAACAAAGAAAGAGAGAATGGTATTTTGACAGAATACATGTAGAAGAGCAAGTGCTGCTCACCAGTTAGGTGATCTTGGGAAAATTAGTCTCTAAAGCCTCAGTTTCTTCATAATAATGGTTTATCCTCATGATTTGAAGTCATTGGATTTGTGAGAATTATATGAGAAGGTATATTTTAAGCATTTAGCACAGTACCTGGCACATAGCAAGAACTTAATACATGTTGTATCATGATTGTTAGTATTGAGATATTTGTTAGGTCTGATCAAATAATTGAATCAACACCCCCTCCAATAGGAACCGACCTTTAGACCACTTCACAACCAACATTCCCTTTTACTGAGATCACATTCCAATTGCTAAGACCGTTATTCTTTCCCTCTGGACCTTCCTAGGATCCAGACCTGCCTAGAGAATTCTCTGCCCAGAAAAAGCCTGTCTAGAATCCTTTAAAATCTCTGACTCCTTGTCCCTGGGTGCTGGGTGCCATTTTAGGGCTCAGCCAATCTGGTATCCAGATGATCTAGTAAATTTATAATCCCTTACCACTTTTGCCCTTATTCATTCCTTCTTCGGTGATGCTAACATTTGGTGCCTGCTTCCTCCTTTCCTCCACCCTTTCTCCAGCCTCATATGCCTATACATAATTTTCTAATTTTTAAGTTCAACTGACTTTAGCTTTTGTTATAGAAAATCTATAAAGTAGATTTGTTAACTGTTAATGTAATGTCTTGTTCTTTGTTGAAGGTATGTTTCTTGAAAGGGAGAGTGTTCATAAATGTCAATCTAAGAAATGCTGATTGTTTATTTTTTAGTTATCATTGGAAAATTAAGGTTTCTAAGAGTTAAGAATTTTAATTGAATTGGAAAGAAATTGTATGGTTTTGGTAATAGAGGCATAAGGCATGGTTATGCATTTTGAAGGAAAAAGAAAGTGAGTTAAAGTTGTAAGAAGGTTTGTGAAAGTTATAGAAGGTTTGTAGGGAGAAATATTGAAAGGAAGTTATATAAATGACACAGGCCAGTAAGCCAGGATAAGCAGAATAGGGAAACCGAGATGGTTAAACAGCAGTTTGCAGCCATCTAGAAAACCTAGGTTCAAAGCAGTTTGTAGCCATCTAGTAAATCCTATCTTCCATAAACCAAGGACACTTAAAAGTAATGATTTGCACTATTCCTCCCCAGCCAGAGGATAAGTAGCTTAAATCAACCTACTCAGGGAGACATATAACAGAAATTCAATTAGTGCGATTTGCCAACCACACCCAAAGACAAATGAAGCTAAGAGAATAAACCCCATTTTGTTATATTAGACTACAACCCTCCAAACTAATATCTCTTTCATTTCGCCAGACCATCCTATATAATAAAGAGGGAATATGCAAATTGACTCACTCCGCCACAAAGATGGCGATGCCTGCAGCGGAGGTGGGGGTTTTCTGTAACACAAGATGGCTGAGTCCACAGTGGAGGTTGAGTTCCCGTAAGGAGCCTTAACGAGCAATCAGCAGGGACCTGAGGCTGCGCGCCCCCCCCCCTTGGGGCTTGACAGGGGACCTCAGGCCATGCCCCCCGCCTTGGTGCCAGGCCAGGGGACCACAGTCCACGCCCCCCTGCCCAGCAGAGCTTGACAGGGGACCTCAGGCCACGCCCCCAACCCGGTGGGGCTTGACAGGGGGCCTCAGGCTGTGCCCCCTGCCCTGGCATTGGGCCAGGGGACCTGAGGCCACACCCCTAGCCCAGCGGGGCTTGACAGGGGACCTCAAGGTGTGCACCCCGCCCCAGTGCCAGGCCGGGGGACCTCAGACCGTGCCCCCCGCCCGGTGGGCTTGACGGAGACCCTCAGGCCACGCTCCCCACCCAGCGAGCTTGATGGGGACCTCAGGCCGTGCCCCTGCCCCAGCACCGGGCCAGGAGACCTGAGGCCACACCCCCACCCTGGCACCAGGTTGGGAGACCTGA